CTGCCGCCTGCTCCGCTGCGGGGGGTGTTGCCCGTCGCTCCCGTTGCAGGAGCCGCGGGTCACGCACCAGCCCCGGGCGCCGCGCGGGCTCCGCCGGGGAGACGCTTCTCTGCCCTGCTCAGCTCTCGGCACCTGCCTTATAGTAAAGCCTTGGCTGGGTTGGGGGTTTTTTGGTATTTTATTTTTTTGTGCATGCGTTTAATTCACAACCAGTGGCAAAGTCACAAAGTTTGCAGGGAGACCGGTGTGGGTGCGAGGCCTTTCTCTGCGGGGCGAGCCCGCGGGCGAGAGCATTTCGGGGCGACAATAGTTTTTCTAAAATGAAAATATCAGGAAAGCAGTCACAACCCCCTTCAACTGGAGGGAAGTCGGCGTTGTTCAGTAGATCGCAGATGACAGCCGGTTGTCTCAGCCAGGTGATGATAAAAAAGATCATCAGAGTTCATTTTGGAAACCAGAAAGTTGTTTGGGGTTTTTTTTCCCCTCCTTTATGGTACTCAACAAACACGTCATGCTTTTGATCTTGGAGCAAGCGGAGCTTGACAGAGAGGAGAAAGGAGAACAATCGGAAGGCACCGAGGCTGCTTGAAGGAAAAATAATTGTTTGTGTCTGGTGCGGGTAGTTCTTGGATGTAGCTGGAAATGTATTTGTTAATGTCTGCTTTGTTTCTACTTTTTCCTGGCTGCAGTCAGTTGTGGTTTTGATCAGAAAAAATGAAAATGTCATCGTAATAAGATTAAGAGATAATAGGCTTCTCTAAAGATTTGGATATGGAGCCTTTATTGGATATCCAGAAGATCCTCTATAGCTGGCAGGGAGGATTACCATCTAGCAAAGAATTGAATAATAACAGTAGTTAGACTCTCCCTACCCAGATATCACAGGCACTTTGCTAGAAGACCTGCTGTATTGTCACAAGACCTGCTACACAGCAAGGAAATGGCTTTGAGTAAAAAAACTTGCGGTCTTGAGACCTGGTCTTCCTCTTCCCAGTCCAAAGGTTTTTCTTCCATGTTAGCAATACTTTCCTGTCTCATTTTGACCTAAATTTCAGTCTAGGATTTATTTCTTGCTATAGTAGTGCCAACTTCGGCCCAGGAAGTTTTGATAACTTCTCTTCAGGAGTCAGTCTGGGGAGAATTGCTTGGAGGCCATAGATACAGGAACTGTTCCTGGAAAGATGGACTTCGTGGATGCTCAGCTGAATGCATCCAGTGCTAAGGGAGAACACGGTGATGGTTGCAGCACCAAAAGATCTCTCCTGGACCTGGGTTAGCATCAGGATCAAAATCTGTCTTGTAATCTCCCAGATAGACCAGCAGAATATCTAATGCACTAGGGGCTTGGCTGAGCATGGGGAAACCAGCCTTTGTAGAGGGGGGCGGAGGGGAGGCCCCCTGCTCAGAGTCACCATTCCTTTCCACTGGCCTCCCGTGTTTTGTTTCCAAGCCCAGTCCCGCCCTGAGGTATCATAGAGGCATCTGTCAAAGCGCTTCCTGTGCGAGTACTATGCTTTACCTTTCCTTTCGTATTTTGATGGCATCCTGAATGCAGTAAACGAAACCAAAATAAAACTGAGCCTAGGGGACCTATCACGTGAGAAATTTCTAGAGCAGGGTGCACAGAAGGCACCAGCAAGATCCTGTGCCCATCAGCCAGCACTTCCATGCTAGCAGCTGCAGGACCTCTCTCACATCACTGTGGGCAGCAGGGGTGCGGGTTGTTGGTCAAGGCACTGTCATAGAAGCAGAGCACAGAGATTTCACCCTCAGTCCCTAGATGTCAAGCTCCAAGGGGACTGGTGTCCAGCAGCTAAGGGGTTGCATTTAGCATCCTTACAAACGGCCTTAATGCCATGTTGAGATGACAAAATCAAGTGTTTGACAGTGTAACATTGTCCAAATTCAAGTTGTTTTAGAAATTTGAACTTGCCCATGTTGCACTTTTCTCTGTTTCATGGTGGAAATTAGTAATAGAGCAGTGCATCGCAGCTGGGCATGAAAGAACCCCTATGTCGCTTGATGCAGCTAGTGGGGCAGCTCCCTGGCACATTTGGAGACTGCACAATCTGTTTACAGAGCTGAAGCTTTTAGTAATAAAGGCTCCTTCCCTTACGATTGTGAAGAAACTTTGCAAAAGCAGCTGGTGTTGCGCTGCATGCTGGAGCCTGCTGTCAACCCTAATGCCCTCTGCTGCTGCTCAGATTTGTCAGTGGTTGCAGACTGCTTGGGTACACAATGACAGTTCACATCTTTGGGTTGCAGTGATCTGATAAGTGATAACTATATCTGCTTGCCCTACTGCTGTCCATGTGTGAGAGCTGCAGAAGCAAGTGCTGGGTCAGGGCAGAGGAATAGAGCCTTGGGTAAGAGTGAAATGGAGGCCTCATCTTTCTCTCTTCTCCCCAGCGTCAAGTCTGAAGAGGGGGAAGAAGAGGCAGGACACTTCTGTTTCCATCCAGTAGTGGAGGAGAAAGGCGGGTGCTTTGAATTAAACAGGCACCACGTGGATTTATTGGAGCTGCAGGACAATACCAAAGTTTGTGCCCTTAAGTCAGAACGAGGGACAGATGGCACCTGCTGGGAATCCTGGCATTAGGAGCCAGGATCTGGACCTGGGTGGATGGGCAGTCTTTGAAGCCCACTAAGAGCTGAAGGCCCTTCCTGTGATGGGGTGTGGGCCATAGATCTAGGCTACAATATTTGCAGCCCTGCGGAAGGATTGGATGAAGGTTTGAGCATCCCCACCCCAGTCTTAAAAGTCCTTCCTGATATATGGGGAAGACCACAGGCAGCGTTCCCTCTAGGCTGTGTGGCGTGCACGGCTGCGCAGACATGCTTATGCTGTGCTGCCAGGCACGCCTGCGTGGCCACGCATGCCACACAGCTCGCAGGGAATGCTGGCCACAGGTCCAGGGCTGTAACTTGGGGAGGAGAACCCATGGGAGGGGGTGCGGGTCACGGGTTCAAAACAAAGGATCTAGAAGGGAACACCAGAAAATCTCCAACTCTGCCCACAGTTCCTTGATCACGGAAACCACCTAGAAGAACTCTGTCCTGGGGCGTGAGGAGACCAAGAGCAGAAATAGGCACCACAGTTGCAGAGCGCTCCTTGCAGAGCTTCCTCTTCTTGGTGATGTTGAAAGTAGCAGCTAGAGCAATGGGGCATAACCACTTGCCCCGCACCTGGAGACCATCTCTGCTTCTCATGCCCACATCCAGCTAACAGTTCTAGTTCCTTAGCCAGTGGGTGGCTAGTTGATGTTTCAAGCTCTGCCCACACGTGCTAGTGCTGCTAGCCTAAATTGTGAGTGTTTATTAAAGTTCTGGCATGCCAGAAAGTGTTCCTGGATAGGAATCAGGACATTATTTTTAGCCTTTCTCAGCCTGTTCTGCAGCTTCTCTTCCCCAGGCCTCTTTATAAAGCAGATCTGCTTTAGCTGTTGGCTCATGGCCCTGTGTGAAGCAGATGTGTATATGGTAAAAGAAGGTATCTGGTTGTATAGCTTGTTGGTAAGCCAATTGACGTGTTTGGAAGCTGCCTCTTCCCACCCAGAGAAGGGCTGGGCAGTCTGGCTTCAAGAGGAACTTAGCATAATTTTTCCTGTGTCAGATGCGAGAGCAGTATGGCTCTTGGCTGCTGCTGATTTTTTTTTTTTTTTTTTTTTTTTCATTTGGGTGCAGCAGCTGCAGTCTCCCTCCAGATGTTCCTCATGCTGTTTCTCAGATCCTGACATGAGAGAGAGACTCTGAGTCTGAAAAGTCTGAGTTTCAGATGTAGGGATGAGGCCTGGACAGCTTTGGCCAAGGCCATCGTTAATAGCTCCAGTGGGAAGCTGGATGAGAAAATTTAGTGAGGTTCCCTGTTGAGAGGTATGTTAGGATGGGAACATCGGTGGGCTTTTCACTCAAGGATTATTGCTGGGGGCTGTGCTGAGTGGCAGAGGAGAGACTGGCACTGTGTGCTGAGTGGAAAGCATTCATCCCAGAGGTGGGGGTAGGATTCAGCACTGGAGACAGGGTTGGCAGTGTGGGGAGCTGGAGCATTGGTCTTGCATGAGGTGCCAGGTGCATGCTGATGGAGTTGCTTCTGCCTCTGTACTGAATCCTGATGTCCCTGCAGTTCCAGAGCTTGCAGCTGGAGCGGGAAATGTGCCTGGCTTTAAACTATACTCTGGCCAAGGAAAACCTGTCCTTGCAGCCACAGCTAGAGAATGGCAAAGCTTCACTGGCCATAAAATACCAGGAGCTGAAGGAGATGAGGGAGGCGTGTCAAGAAAAGCAACAGCGAGTGGGTGAGTAGAGCTGTCCCATGCCCTCTGGTGCTGATGTCGGTCCCCTTGGCTCTAGGGAAGGCAAGAGGGAGCTGGGTCATTGACTGGGCTTTTTGCCTTGATGGTCATTGAGGATAGAGTTTTTCATTCAATGAGTCAGAGCCCCAAGGAACTAGAAAGCAGCTGGGTGGTGCTGTCTAGAGACCTTTTTGGTCTGACCATGCCATCTCATGGTCCCTGCTCATGCCCTGGGACCATGGCCCACCTGTGACATGGTGTTGTGATGCTGATGCAAATATGTGGCTTCCAGAGTTGACTGTGCTACCCCCCGTGAGGCTCTAGGTAGTGGCACCTGTAGCATTCAGGCAGGGAGCACACAAGTGCAACTGGGAGTGATTGCCCCTAGCTTGGGGCAGGTGCAAAGTGGGCAGATTGAGTCATATTGGGGTTAGCTGGAGCAGCGGAGTGGGAGGTGTGTGGGGGTGGGTGCAGGGTAGCATTGAGGGGCTGCCCTGGCTGCATGGCCTTTATGAAGAGGGCTTGGGTGTCACACAGGAAAGGTTCTGGGTTAGGGCATTAGAGGTAAGGCCTGCTCCCCAGTTGCTGGGTGTGGGTTGATGTGTCACAGGCTGATGCAGGAAGAATAAAGGCCTCTTGCTCCCCGTTGCTGGGAGAGCAGGTGAGGGAATGGCTCAGACCCCTGCATCACGCTAGCAACAGGTCCACCTGTATGCAGCTAGCTCTGACCCTCTTCTCTCCCTGAGCAGCGGCCTACCTGGAGAAGTGGAACCCCCAGAGTGCTCTGACCCGTCTCCAGGCCGATCTGGATGCAGCTGAGACAGAGTCGGAGGTGAGTCTGGAGAAAACTGCTTTACCACTCACTGGGTTCTTGTCACGTTATTTCTCAGCTTCCCCCACATGCCCTCTGCGAGGCTTCTCTCTCTGCAGCTGGGTGAGCACCACGGAGCTGGCCCCTGAGCTACACTAGCCTGCTATGCTGTTGCAACCTGCTCCCTTGGGTGGTAGGAAGAGAGCCAGGGATGAAGCTCTGATGCTGTTGAAGGCCATGACTAAACCTCACTGATGCAGGGAGCCAGGATAACACTGCAGGAGTGACTTGTCCTGCGATTAGTACTAGGCTTCTGGCCAGCTCCTGTTGCAGCACCTCCTGCCACTCTTCTTTCCTTGCCTGCCCTGTGGTTTGACGTTATTCTTCACGTCCAGGCTCCTATGGGGGTACCCCTGCCCCCATGTTGACCCCCTGTTCTCTGCCCTGCAGGTGCAGATGGAGAAATTCCTGTCCCAGGAGATGCCTCTGGATGCCTTCCTGGAATCCTTCCAGCAGAGCCGGATGGTGTCCCACCTCCGCCGGACGCAGGTGGAGAAGCTTCAGGAGCTCCTGAAGAAGCCACCCAGCCTGCGCTCCACGTGTTCCAAGGGACAGGAACCCCCCTCGCCAAGCCCAGCTCCCACCCACATCGCTCTGGTGCAGAACAAAGCCACGCCCAAGATGTTCCAGCTCCACTATGGCTTTACTCCTGCCATTCTGGTCTCCTCAGATGCTGTCATCCCCTTCCCTATGGCTGTTGCCCCTCCCAGCCGAAACCTCCCTCCCCTAGGACCCAGTGCAGGCCAGATGCCAGTGTCTCGTGCCCACCCTCCGCGCCTGTGCTCCCCTCTGCGGCTCATGGGACACATCTCTCTGTTAAGCCCACGGCCTTTTCGGGTGGAGCCCTCACGCTTATCCTGCCAACAGAAGCAGGAGCCACCTCACCGGTAGCTGGGAGGAGTGATGGGATGTCCTCATACCTGAGCCCTTGTTGCACCCACTGGCCTGTTTATGTGAACTTCTTACATCAGAGAATGAACCTGAGCTGAGCACATGGCACCCCCCAGCCAGGCAGCTTGAAGGCATAATTCAATTCCTTCCCATGCCCTTGTGAAGCTGGCAGGGTGGGGGGCAATGGGATGGCTACCTGGAAGTGCTCAAGGATGCAGCAGCCAGCAGTATGGTTTGCTAGCTGTCAAGTGGTCCACTGGACTCCACAGGTGGGAGAGGGAGTCTGAGACCAGTGGTTGCACTATGGGGTTTCCCAAGAAGCTGGGTGCTGCCATGGCAGATGTCACTCTGAGTCTGTAGTGGTGACTGATAATCAGGCAGGGGTATTTGGTTTGGGGTGTTGGGAGTGGTTTTTAGGTTTGAGGGACAGCTGATAGCTTCAGCCAGTTCATGTGGGAGGGGAGGGAAGGGAGGAAAGGGGAGAAGATGGCTGTCACGCTTCAGGGACGGAACGGCTTCTTTGTGATGGAGGCGATTACAGCGCAGCCATGTTCCTGTGAGGTTCCAGTGACAGCAGGGGTCATGGGGGCAGAGGGAAGAGTGGATGGGAGCAGGCCACCAGGTTACAGTGGCAGTGAGTAAGATGCACTGCAGAGACTATTCCAGCTCTGGAAGAAAAAGGGCTTGCCCTGCTGTCACCCTCTTCTCCTGTTCTGCCTGTTCGTAGGATATAGGTAATTCCTGTGCATTGAGTGCAAGTTGTTATGGGTGGGGAGTTCTACAGGGACAAGTATGAGCCCCCCATATGGTGCTGGGCTTGTTTCATGCATGTGTGGGGTGTGTTGGAGGGCTACCCAAGGAAGACCGGGCATGAAAGTTGATTTCCAAATAAAGGCGTTTTCCAGACTTTCCTCTTTGCTTCTGACTTGTACTGTCAGAGGTGCTCTGCCCACCATTCTGCACCTGCCCAGTGGGGACTGGGGTTGAGCCTTGGAGCAGGTGGAAGGAAGTACTCTGAGGATGGAAGGTCGTGGGGCAACGGGCTGCCCTTTGGGTGGTAGGGCAACTGTTGTGCTGTGCCGAGGCAATAGGGGACAGAACAAAGGAAAATGTAGTGCTTCCCCCCACCCAGGAGTCTGTACTAGGAGCTGTACTTTGCTCCTGTGGGTTCCCCAACCCTGCTGTCTGGTCTGGACCATATTGCACCCAGTGTCCTCTGCAGGGTGACTCCCCATTCAGGTCAGCCAATCAAGACCTTGATTAGTTTTGTGCATGGGGAAGGCTAAGCTCCCTGGGAGTGGAGAGGTCAGTGGGTGGCCCTGTCTGTTAAAAGGATCTCGGGTTTCCCCTACCTGAGAACTCTGCTAGCAGCTCTGCCTCTCTCTCATGCTTCATGCAGTGAGTGATAACAGTAATCTCCGACCATCATCAAGGCCATTCCCACCCAGAAGTCTCTGCTCTCTTGTCCAGTACTCAGCCCAGAACCTGCTGCAGCCTGGGTGAGCCCCTTCCCCGTCCACTCATGAATGCATCTTTGATGGTTCTAACCTCAACGCGGAGTTTTAAGTCCAGTGTCCCGGCCAGATGGCAAGCCAGGTGAGCCCATCCCGTCTCCTTACACTGTCCCTTCCACTGGAAATGGCATGAGAAGTTGTCTGCTCCATTGAGCCCAGGCTTTGGATTCCAAGGGCTTTTGAGCCAGCTTGGTCTAAACTGCGCACACTGCCTCTGGTCCAGGCCTATTGGGCATGTTTCCATCTGTATCTGACACCATCTTTGGCATGTGGGACCCCCACAGTCCAGCTGTCCATGGCCCTGCAGCCAGTACTGAACTTCTCAGGGCTTCCTCAGAGCCCACACCCAGGACCACCCTGGATTACAGTGCAGCTCTTTGGAGACCTGTGACCAATAGAACCCCAGCTTTGCAAGTACAGGCAGTCCTCGACTTACAAGGTTTCGAGTTACAATGGTTTGCACTTACAACTTATAAATTGACACCCTGTTTCAACTTTACGATGCTTGATCTGGCCCATGCCACACCAGCGAACAAGTTCATTGCGTCGCCCATCTCCCTGGAGAACATCTGCCCAAACTTTCTTGGACACTTTCTTTAAGAAAGCAGACAAGACTCCAGAAAAACCTGAAGCCAAGAACCCTTCAAAAAGTCCAACCAAGAGCCCTTCAAAAAGTCCAGCAAAGTCACCTTGAAGTCCTTCCAAATCAATACGATTGCTATTTACAATATAAATACATTAATGCATCTACATTACTCATCTATAATTGATTGAGTATAAAACTCTGGGTTATTTTTGGTGAAAACAGGGCATCAGGCCTTGGTTCAGGAACCAATCCCCCATTTATAACATTGTTTCCTATGGGAAAATTGGTTCCGAGTTGCAACGTTTTGACTTGAGATGCGTTTTTCAGGAACCAATTCTGTCGTAAATCTGAGGACTACTTGTTAGTTGCTTGGTTGCATGTGCTTTTTAAGAGAAAAGAGGACAATGGTTACAGAACTGTGGAAAAACAAGAGTTAAATGTGATTCCTCCCTCAGGCCTCATCAGCCCAGAGAGTCCGCTGGGTTTTGGTCAGCATCCATGAGGGAAGCCAGCTCCCTCCTGCCTCCTCTCCTCAGAAATCTTCCGCTTGAGATGGTTTGGGTCTCTGGCCCAGAGAAATCAGCCCAGAGGTGGTCCCCTGCTAAGAGGTTTCCATTGTCTATCCTTTTGGAGGCTATTGGGTCACTAAGAAATAACATCTTGGCCCCCATTGTCCCACCTTGCTAGAACAACTCAGCAGTGGTAACTCCTAGTTGGCTGTCTTCCAGTTTCCCAGGTCCAGCCCATTTTGCACTAGAGATCAAACATTCAAATCCATGCAGCCTGAGCCAGTCACCAAAGGAACGTTTCCCACATGCTGTCAGCTTCACCCGTCTGCTCCAACCTTCCTACGGTACTTCTGGGCACTGCTTGCATCTCCCATGAGTAGCAGCCATGGGTGCCATTCCCAGGGGGAGTGGCAATGCATCATAAGTGCACTCCTAGCAGAGGGGTTACCTATGCAGAGGAGACCTTCTTCACTGTTTTTCTTCAATGGCACTGTGCTGAGACCATGGGACCCGACTGCATTTATACAAGTCTGAGCACACAGAATATGACAGTCCCTGCCCCAAAGAGCTTGTAATTGAATTAGAAGAGAAGCCGTGACCAAGGGGATCAACAAACAACTGATGGGAAATGGGAAGGGAGATGAGGGGGGAGCGGTGGCTCCAACATTGTGTTGTGCAGCTGGAAATCCACCCCGGCAGGTTTGTCACTTGCTTCCTCCTCCCCCTGCTCTGCATATGCTGTGGTTAGCCTCCCTGCCTCTAATTTCCTGCTGTTTGTTTTTCTTTCTGGTGCTGCTGTTTGGGTCTCTGCCTGCTTCTGGTTTTTATCTTATTTTTCCAGCCAAACCTGCCCATTTCCTGCTTAGAATTATTGCAAAGCTCCTACTTCATTTAGATTGTGAAAATGTAAAGCCAATGATAAGAATTGGTCCACTGCCCGCTTTTCCCTGGCCAGCCTCTTCTCAAGGTTGATTTCTGTCATCCTCCCATAGAAACAAAACTGCCCCAAGACCATTGTGGCAGGGACACTGCCATGAGAGGTAACTTACCTGCAGCATGGGACTGACGAGTGGAACGGCTGACGCCTAGCACGGTAGCAGACCGGGGCGGACTTCCGGTGCCAGTCTGGGCATGCTTTGTAAATGTGTGTCGGCAGCGTTTCGGCACCTGGCCTGTGTTCACTGGTTCAAAAGCAACCCGGAGCAACACCCAGGGGGGACTGGAAAAATGGTCCCCAAGGGAACGTGAGCACCACAGTGAGGTCACTTGCCCCGGAAGGGGCAATTGGCAGAAGCCAGATGCTGAGAGGCTTCTCACTATAATGGGCTCAGAGGAGCAGAAATACTCACTGTTGCAGCAGGCGTGGATCCCTGACGTCGCAGACCTGAGCTGGAGTGATGGTGAACCTGAAAGGAACAGATTAGAAGTGAAGTGAATTTGTGAATACATGGATGGAAGCACCAAGTCTAAGGCGCAACCCTACCCCAACATTGCCTAGGAGGGAGCAGAATGGACAATAGAACCTTGAGATAAGGAAAAGACTGTATGGACCTAATGTCTGCGTTTAAGCAAATGGATGATTTGTACTTTTGTCCGGTCATGGACACAGACCCTAAGTCCAATTTGGCTAGACCTTAACACCATCTGGTTGGCGTTAGGCAAGGTGAAGGGGAGGCAGAGCCCCAGGGGTGAAGATACTACGTAGAAGACAACAAGGCACTGAGGGAGGTAGGAGTAAGATCTTCCTCCCCTTTAACTATTAATTCCAGCAAAGATGTGGCAGGCGAGAGCCCTCGGGTGCCTTGAGGGTCTACACAATGTGTCAAGCTGTCATCTTAGAAGGCAGCAGTAGCGCCAAGTCGGACTGAAAAACCAAGGCGCTTGTCTAAAGAGCGGCCCAGTAAATTACAACCGTGCAGTTACCAGCAGGTGGGATCGCGGAGGCTTCTGAGGCGCAGTTTGCCCCTATTGTTGCCTGTGCTCAGGGCCTGTTGCCCTGACAGCAGGTCATTGCCCAGGTTCCTAGAGGAGAGGGGTGCTTCACAGCATCCCCAGTAGACACTTTTCCTTCTCTAACGTCCATAGGTGCCAACTGTCTAGTTGTGAACTCTCAGGCCCTGGTTCCCCAGGATGTACCTAAACTGAATCTACTGCAGCTGTAGGATGCAACTCTAATCTGAGGCCTATGGAAGTGAGTGAGGAATCAGCAATGTCTGCATCTTAAATGGAAGGAGGTAGTTATCCATGTTAGATTAAACAAGATTAAATATATATATTAAAATCTTGAAAGCAATTATATATTTTAAGCTTATATATAAAACTTAAAAGCACAAGCTTTTATGAACCCAGCTTCACTTCATCAGAGGCTTAAATGCCAGTCACAGCAATGTAGCTCTACTTTTGAGAGGGAAAGACCCTGCAGTACCTCCCCACTGCCACTGCACACCACAAAAGTCTCTGTGGTTAGCCTGCTGGCTATAGAATCATAGAACTGTAGGACTAGAAGAGACCTGTAAGATCATCAAGACCAGTCCCCTGCCATGGGCAGGAAGTTATTGGGCTCAGACACGCTCAACAAGGTGCCCATCTAGCCTCCTCTTGAACACCTCCAAGGATGGTGACTGCTGGGAGTGTGTTCCAGATTCTGGTGCCCTTACAGAGAAGAAGTTCTTCCTTATATCTAGCCTGAATTTACCCTCTATAAGCTTATGTCCATTGGTCCTCACCCTCCCTTGGGGTGCCTTCCTGAAGAGTTGCTCACCTAAATCTTGGTGTTCACCTCAATGAACTTGTAAGCAGCTATCAAGTCACCTCTCAGCCTTCTCTTCATCCAACTGAACAAGCCCAGTTCTCAGAGTCTCTCTGTGTAGGGCCTATCCTCCATGCCCTTGACCATGTGGGTGGCTCTTCTTTGTACCCTCTTGAGCTTATCTATGTCCTTCTTGAAGTGCAGCACCCAGAACTGGACACTACTCCAGCTGTGGCCTCACCAACACCAAATAGAGAGGGAGAACCACCTCCCTGGATCTATTGGACACACGCCGGATGCAGGCTGGAGTTCTATTTGGCAAGCCAGAGCTCTATTTGCTTTCCTGGCAACCTCATCGCACTTCTGGCTCATATTCATCTTCTGGTTGATCGTAACCCCCAGGACTCGTTCAGATGCTGTGCCAGCCAGTGGGCCACCACTCATCGTGTAGTTGTGATGAGGGTTCTTCCTACCCAGATGAAGGACTTTGCACTTATTCCTGTTAAACCTCATCTGATTCTACTTTGCCCATGAGTCCAGTCTGTCAAGGTCATCCTGGATCTTGACCCTGTCCTCCTTGTGCCTGCATTTCCCCACAGCTTGGTATCATC